TCTAGCGATACGGGTGCTGCTGCCAGTGACCCTGCACACTGGCCGCCTGGCGGATTCTGCACGCCGGCGTGCTGTGTGGGCGCCCTGATGCTTTGGTGATGGCGTTGACGTATGTTACATGCTGCATGTATGTTACTTCTTCTTACTTATATCTAGCATCTTCATCAAAACTAGTTTACTTATATCTTACTTATATGTAACTTATATCTAATTTATAAGTCCGATAAGTCTGCTTTTTCGTATGGAAAATGGGGGGCGGGGGCGCTTTCAAAAATGCGTCGGCGTCGCCATCGATCCGTGCAGCCTGCGGGGCCCCGCTCCCGTTCCCCTCCTCTCCGTCCCTCCTTTTCCCCAGGCGGGATGCCGCCAGGCGGGCTACCGCCGCGCGAACGTGATTTTTTACAACAGGCGGCCCACCGCCAGGCGGTGCACCGCCGCGCGCGCGCGTTTTACACCAGCGCGCGGACCGACCCGTCCTCGGCTCGGCGGGTGTACGCCGCAGGCGCCCGCGGGGCGTCCTCAGCAGCCAGCGCGCCGCATCCTATGGGGCGGCGGCGTAGTGGGCCATCCCATCCTCCTCGTCCCCCTCCTCCTCCTCCTCCTCCTCCTCCTCCTCCTCCTCCTCGTCCCCCTCCTCCTCCCCTCCTCCTCGTCCCCCTGTTCCTCCTCCTCCCCCTCCCTCCCCTCCTCCCCCTCCCTCCTCCTTGCACAGCTCGGTCCTCCTCGTGGCCGCCACGCGGACTCCCCAGGCGCAGGCCGCGACGCCAGGTCCAGCGGCTCCACGATGAGGTAGGAGCGCCCCGCGGCCACCGCCACGCAGTGGACGTGGAACGCGGCGTCGCCCTCGAGCCACACGTCCCCGCTGCCGTAGACGAGGCCGCCGACAGCAGCTCGACGACAAGTGATGGCGCCGTGCCTGGATAGGCCCTGGTGCACGTGCGAGCCTCGGCGTTGCCCCGAGAGGCGCCCCCGCAGGCGCGCCCCCCGTGGAGGCTCGCGCGTGCACCAAAGCCCATTTGGCCCCAACCGCGCTGCCCGATGATCCCGTCGAGCTCAGGGGTCGGCCACCATTTGTGCGACTGGCGCGGCGCGGCCGAGGACTCGTGCAAGTACGTAGCCACAACTTGGGTGATCACATCCTTGTCCATGCCGCCCAAGCGGTCGTAGTGCTCCGCGGTGTCCTTGATGAGCTTGTGTTTTCGCTCGAGCACGAAACAGTCGAGCATCAACCCATCCTCCGCCGCCTGCACAGCTGCGTGCCAAAGATAATGATGCTTAGGCACGATCCACGCGTCCGTGTAGGCCCGCACGTGTTTCCTGAGCGCCAACCCGACATGGCGCTTGAAATCAACATCGAACGTGTCTGGGCAGCCGCCGCGTTTCGCCGCCAGGTACAGTTCCATGGCGGCATACATGGCCTCAAAGGACCGCGCCTGGGGCAGGAACGGCGCGTGATGCGGCAAGAAATCCACGTGCAGCCAGTTCCTGAGGAACGGCAGGACGGCGAGGCAGTCCGACGCGGAGCCGACGAAATGCCCTGCCTCGACGCAGGCTTTCTTCCTGGCAGGGGAGAAGAGATGCACGGGAGCTTTCCCTCCGCCGCGGCCTGGAGCCCAGCGCTGGAAATCGGTTCGCCACCGATCCCACACGTCTGGAATCACGCGCGCCACTGCTTTGTGCAGGCAGAACACCTCCACCTGGAACGTGCCTCCGCTCGCCAGGATGATGTGCATCGGGTCGCGCGTGTACATGTCCAGCGAGCAAACGCGTCGGAGTTCGACGTCGGCCATCAACGAGAACTCGTTCACTGTGATGCCGTACGCGGATTGGAGATTCTGGAAGGCCACTGCACTCGCCGTGCGTTGAAGTTCCACGAGTTCGTCGTACCCCTTCGCGAACTCCTTGGCGGGAGCCGGCCGAGCGAACTCCGCTCGCGAATTCCAGGGAGTTCGCGAAGTCCGTTCGTGAACTCTCTGGACTCGCCGAGCGTCGGCCGCGCATTGCCCGCCCCCGACGCCTCCGCAGTCATCGGGTCGAACCTCGAGGCGTCGACGCAAGCGATACCCACCAGGTAACCAGACGGGTCCCAACGGCTGAGGGTGCCAGTCCCCTGGTCGAGCACGACGTTCTTGCAGTTGCAGCAGGGCCGCCAACCGCTGGAGCCCTTGTACGAGAAGGTGTCCTTGCCCGCGCTTTCGTCCATGATCAGCCTGTGGCACTTGAAATGCAACCGAGACGCGCCGACGTCGAAACCGCCGCCTCCTGGCCCGAGGAAGAGGCGCCGCAGGATGGCCCTCACCACGCCCGCTGCGGTGATATCCTTCTTGTCCTCTGACCGAAGGACTCCCAGCGGGAGCCAGGCGCCCTCTTCTTGAAGGTATGTGCCCAGCTCCAAAAAACTAATGTACACAACAATGGACGTCCTGCGGTTTGCAGCTTTGAGCTGCGCGCCGACGACCACGTCGTCGTGGTAGAGCAGCATCCGCCACGGTTGCGATGGCGACGAAGGAAACACCCGCATCGCCGCCCAGAACCGATCACTCCAAGGCCCCGCCGCGTGGGCCAGCTTGGGGACGATCTTGTCGGGCAAACATACAGTCCACCTGAACGCTGGGCCACCGTCTCGGCGCGGCAATTCGATAACATCCAGAAGCGGCGCCACCGCGCGAGCCACGTCGGCGCCCACGGTCGCCGCCGCCACGTGCTCGTCGTCGTCCTGCAGCAGGACGCGAGCCACCCTGCGCGGGGAAGGCGGGTGGAGATCGGTTGGGCATTTTGAAAAGAAAAAGCCGACCAAACAAAACATCCTTCAAACACATTGCGCATTATGATTTTTGGATTCCGTGCACCTGTCCAGCGCCGCCCGCGATGCGCCCCGCAGAAGCGCTGCCTCCTGCAGCCTCTGACGCTTGCCAGGAGGCCATCGCTCGGCCATGGCGCCGCCCCCGCCTGGCGCGCCGCCGCGGGCGCAGAAGCGCTGCCCCCTGCAGCCTCTGACGCTCGGCAGGGGGCCATCGCTCGGCCATGGCGCCGCCCCCGCCTGGCGCGCCGCCGCGGGCGCCCTTCGAGCCGTTGAAGTAGGGTGGGTGAGGCGGTGGAAAAGGTTGACAACGGATGACGGATGGGTGACAACGGATGACGGATGGCGGGGTACCGCCGACGACGGATGGCTGACAACAGGCGGTGCACCGCCAGAAGACTCCTGAGCATGGACAGGAAGCGGAGTACCGCCGACGACGGATGGCTGCACACGGGCGGTGCACCGCCAGAAGAGTGCGGGGCATGGACAGGAGGCGGAGTACCGCCGTCGGCGGATGGCTGGCAACGGGCGGTGTACCGCCAGAAGAGTGCGGGGTGTGGACAGGAGGCAAACTACCGCCGTCGGCGGATGCTGCCCATGGGCGGTGCACCGCCAGAAATAAGAGGAGCATGGCTACAAGGACGCCGTGCACGAGGAAAGGGAGGCGGACCACGGAGGAATATAGTTTTTGTCTAAGCGAGGGAAGTCTGCGCGGGCGGGGGCAGACTTCCAGCGCGCCTCCAGCGCGCCCCAGCGCGCGTCGCAGCGGCTGGGGACTGAGCAGGGCAGCCGCCGCCGAGCTCAGTCCCTCGAGGTGTTCTTCTTGCTGTACTTCTTGGCCTGTAGAAGGATGATCGGGACGCAAACGCGATCGATCGGCGGTCGAACGCGATCGATCGGCGGTCGATCGCGATCGAACGGCGCTCGATCGGCGGTCGATCGATCGATCGGCGGTCGACCGATCCGAACGCGATCGGTCGGCGGTCGATCGGCGAAATCCTCGATGGGTCGAGCGGTCGATCAGCAAAATCTTCGATCGATCGATCGGCAGTCGAGCGGTCGATCGGCGGAGCACCGCCATCCACGATGGATGAAAAGGCCGTTGAGCAGCTCGCGTGCTCGATGGCCGAACGCAGGCCACCGACAGCGGTCTTTGCGTCGGCGAGGGCTGCCTCCAAGGCCTTCGCCTCGTACGGCAAGCTCGCCCTGGGGTCCTCGAGCGCGGTCTTCGCGGCCTCCCTGAGCTTCGAGAGATCCTTGTGGCTGTCCTTCGCGTTCTTCACCGCCCAGGTCGGCACCCTGGAGCAGTCCTCGTCGTCGAGGAGCGATGCGAGCTGCACGTCCCAGGACCCCGTCTTTTCCAGCGTCTTCATCGCCAACGCCTTGCGGTCCTTGATGGCCTTCTGGACACGCTTCTGCTCGCTGCGTTCCCTCCTGATGCGACTGCGCGAGTCCCTCCCTTTCTTGCCGTGGTCGTTGCGGCTCCTCGAGCGCTGCTTCTCGCGAGACTGGGAGCGACCCGTCTTGCGGCTGTCCTTCTTGCTGTGCGCCCTGCGGCTCCTCGAGCGGGCCTTGTCCTTCTTGCTGTGCGCCCTGCGGCTCCTCGAGCGGGCCTTCTCCTTCTTGCTGTGCGCCCTGCGGCTCCTCGAGCGGCGGCCCTTCGCGTCGGCTCTGCGGGAACCTCTGGAAGAGCGGTGCTTCTGGCGGCTGTCCGCCCTGCGGCCGCGGCTGCTGCGCTTGCGGCCGCGGCTGGGGAAGCGGTCCGCGCCGTCGCCGCTGCTGGAGTGGCCCCGCTTCAGCTGGCGGTTCTGCGAACAGTCGCTGTCGCCGCTCCGACTCGTCGAACGGCGACCAGCGCCTGTGGGGCCCTCGTAGCCACCGCTCGGCGAGCGGTGCGTCTTTTGCGGGAGTGGCTCCACGGCTCTCTCATGCTTCGGTGGGGATGGCCTCGGCGGCTTCCTGTTCTGGCGGAGCTCCTGCCTCACTGTCTCTTCGATGTTCTCCTGCCTGCTGCCCTCGATGCGGATGCGGTAACAATCCTGCTTCAAGTCGGAATTGTACCTCACGTCGTTGTTGGCACGGACGGCGTCCGCGTCGTACCCTCCTGGGCCCAGACGGACAAGGGCTTCCAATCCCCGCCCTTGGTCTCCGTGAGGCGTTCCTTCCTCGAGACGCTGAGGACCCTCACCAGCTCCTCTTCGAACTGAGCGTTGTTCTCAATGGAAGGGTCGTCCATCGAGCGCCAGAACGCCTGCTGGTCCGCCTTGCGCATGAGAGCGAACGAGCGC